GATCCTAGTCGAGCGATCCGATCGCGCGATCCTAGTAGCGATCCGATCGCGCGATCCTAGTCGAGCGATCCCATCGTGCGATCCAATCGCACGATCGCGAAGTCTGAACGCGCTCTTAGCTTGTGTGCTTCACTTTATTCGCCACAATTTGTGCTTAGAGAAATTCTGTAATAAGTATAATTTAAACTGTCTCTGAGAACCTCTACAAAGGCGTTGCTCCCAATGTACAATCGTAATGATTGTGTGGGAACGGCCTCTTGGGCCGTCAATCTGCTATTTCCGTTACTGCGTTTTGTTTTGTGCTTTCATCGGTTTGCTTTAGAGAAGAAGCGCATGTGATTTACTTGAACCCAGCAAGCATACTATTTGCGTCATCATGTATGCCAGATTCCAAATAATTGCATAACTCACCAACACTTCCCCTGGACGCATCTCGTACGGCTCTCAGAATGTGGGCAAGCGCCATCTTCATCTGCAATCGGGCGACACGCATACCAATGCAATTTCTTGGGCCGTAGCCAAACGGTAGGAATGTCAGCGGGTCCTCATTGGCACGACTACGGCTAGACCACCTACAATGTGGAGCTGATTCTTAGCACAAAGCAATGCTATTGAAAGATACGTTTTTGAATAAAATACTTTTCACGTCTAGATGGCCCGAAGGTAGCTGGAACTGAATCCCCTGAGCATGTTGCCACAGTCTTGGAATTCAAGTTGGTATCTTCACAATCAGGTGGGTCAGTGCAAGAAGGGGAGGGATAAGCTATCCCACGGCTGCGCTTTCTACTTATGATAACAGGTTAGTGATCGATTCAAAAGTAAATAGCGAGTGATTGAAAACGCTGTGGGTCGGCCCTTTCCATGCTCCCGAGGCAGGGATAGCCGAGTGGTTAAGAGTGTAGACTCATAATCTCAAGCCACGAGTTCGATCCCTGCCGAGGCACAAACCTGCCTTGCAAAAATTGCAAAAATGGGGACGATACCAGCGTCAGGCCCAGGTTGACAGGCCGGCTGATGGAGGAACCCGTCACAACAATCATGACAAGTCGCAAAGTATCAGTGTAAAAGCTAGGACGTCACCCGGAAGTGGCGCGCAGAACCCTCGCCCGAGTTCTGTGGTCAGTATGCGAGGGCTACCGAGGGGTGAACGACCGGCCAAAGAAGCTAGTTCGAATTGGGACCCTGAACGTGGG